AGTTGACATAAGCATCCCTTCTTTTAAGATGTACATATTTGTATTTTTATATGTAGTGGCATGCACATTTCCTGATTTGTTTAAAAAAAAACATCACCCTCTTTCGTTGTTGGTTGCTTTATTGTGTTTGTTCTTGTTTTATACCTCTTTTTCAAGTTTTGTTTATATTTCAAAACTACACTGTATAACCGAGGAAGTGGTTTAGGCCACATACAACCCGTATTGCCAAAATGATATCAACTGGCATCAACTTAGATCCAAGTTCACAAAATATTGTCACACGTGTACTCCGTCTGTCCCATGTTTACTCGATCAACTTTCAACCTTAAAATAAAATGCTCCGCTGGGGCGCAGCTTGATACGACCGCAGAGGTCGAACCCTGAACAGTTGGGGCAAGTATGGACACAACATTCAAGCTTGATACAGCACTGAATTTGGATTGTAATTAAATATATGACACAGCATAGGTTTCTGACACAGAATGAATGTGGTCCAAGAACTTAAAAGATTTTAATTTACCTATTCAAACCATATCATTATTATTTGCTTTTATATATAAATCAGAAATAACCAATTTAAAATGGAAAATATAAAGAAAATAAAATGCTTCGCTGGGGCGCAGCTTGATACGACCGCAGAGGTCGAACCTTGAACAGTTGGGGCAAGTGTGGACACAACATTCAAGCTTGATACAGCTCTGAATTTGGATTGTTATTAAATATTTGACACAGCATAGGTTTCTGACACAGAAAGAATGTGGTCTAAGAACTTGATTTTTTTTAATTTACCTATTATGGTTCAATGTCCAAAATCAAAATACATGGTTAGATTCAGCATATCAAAGAACCCCATATATTCAATTTTTGTTAAAATCAAACAAAGTTTAATTTTGGACCCCAACTTGGACAAACTTGAAAACTGGGCCCATAATCAAAAATCTAAACACATGTTTAGATTCAGCATATCAAAGAACCCCAAGAATTCAATTTTTGCTAAAATCAAACTAAGTTTAATTTTGGACCCTTTGGACCTTAATGAAGACCAATTTAAAAAACGGGACCCAAATTAAAAATCTAAAAACACGGTTAGATTTGGCATATCAAAGAACCCCAATAATTCAATTTTTGATGAAATCAAACAAAGTTTAATTTTGGACCCTTTTGACCTCAATATGAACAAATTTGATAGCGGGGCCTACAAATAAAAAATCTAAATACATGGTTAGATTCAGCATATCAAAGAACCTCATACATTCAATTTTTGTTGAAATCAAACAAAGTTTAATTTGGACCCCAATTTAGACCAACTTGAAAACTGGGCCCATAATCAAAAATCTAAATACATGTTAAGTTTCAGCATATCAAAGAACCCCATAAATTCATTTTTTGTTGAAATCAAACAAAGTTTAAATACTGGACCCTATTTTGGACCAACTTGAAAACTGGGCCCATAATAAAAAATCTAAACACATGTTTAGATTCAGCATATCAAAAACCCCAAGAATTCAATTTTTGTTAAAATCAAACTAAGTTTAATTTTGGACCCTTTGGACCTTAATGTAAACCAATTTAAAAAACAGGACCCAAAATTAAAAATCTAAATACACGGTTAGATTTGGAATATCAAAGAACCCCAATAATTAAATTTTAGATGAAATCAAACAAAGTTTAATTTTGGACCCTTTTGACCTCAATATGAACCAATTTGATAACGGGGTCCACAAATAAAAAATCTAAATACATGGTTAGATTCAGCATATCAAAGAACCCCATATATTCAATTTTTGTTGAAATCAAACAAAGTTTAATTTTGGACCCCAATTTGGACAAACTTGAAAACTGGGCCAAAAATCAAAAATCTAAATACATGTTTAGATTCAGCATATCAAAGAACCTCATATATTCAATTTTTGCTAAAATCAAACAAAGTTTAATTTTGGACCCTTTGGACCTTAATGTAGACCAATTTGAAAACTGGACCCAAAATTAATAAACTGCAATTGTCTGAAAACTGGAAAATCACCCTTTTTTTAATGAATAAAACCCCATAACTCAGAAATGTTAAATGTAAAATTTATAAAATTCTAAAGAGAGTTTACATCAATACATACAAACAATTCACCAAAGTTTCATAAGAATTGCTGAAAGCATTTTTGAGTTTTTGTCCGAAAACTGAAAAATCCCCCCTTTTTTTATGGATAAAACCCTGTAACTCGGAAACGTAAAATCTAAAATTTATAAAAATCAAAAGAGAGCTCATGTTAATAGATATAAACAATTCACCACAATTTCTTGCAAGTTGGTGAAAGCATTCTTGACTTATTGTCCGAAAACTGGAAAATCCCCCTTTTTTTAATGAATAAAACCCCATAACTCGGAAACGTAAAATCTAAATTTTATAAAAAACGAAAGGGAGCTCACGTCAATAGATATAAACAATTCACCAAAGTTTTATGCAAATTGGTTAAAGCATTCTTGAGTTAATGTCCGACATGTTGACGACGGACAGACGGACGGACAGACGGACAGACGGACGGACGGACAGACGGACAACGGTATACCATAATACGTCCCGTAAACGGGCGTATAAAAATCTAAATACACTGTTAGATTCGGCATAACAAATAAATAAATGTGATCAAAGATTTTACAAATCTAATGCGCCATACTGTGCAATTAAAGATTACTTCTTGAAATTTTTCAATATTTGAAATTTGAAAAAAAAATAATATTTGAAGAATAATTCTTTTTATTTTCTGAAATCTGAAATGAGAAAAAAGTGACCCCCCACAATTTCTTTTTATCCCCCCCCCCCCTTTTTTCCCCCAAAAAATTCTTTCCCTCAAGATATGGTCATAATCTCAATTCAAATTTCCAATGGAGATGGCAACCATAATTACCCATTTAAATTTACCATAGTGCTTACTTAATCTATTTTATAATAGAATTAAAATTATAGTGTCAAATCTTTCATATGGATTTTTTTGTAAAAAAAAAAGATGCAACATTTGCAGATATTTTTACTGGTCTTCCTTTATAAATATGCATTTCTTTAAACATAATTTAAAAGCAGTGTAAGGGAAGTAACCAAAACGTTGTATTTGGATTACCTCCATTACACTGTTTTAAATTATCTTTATTGTTCATTAACCATTACTTTATACATAATTTAAAAGCAGTGTAAGGGAGATAATTTCAATGATGTATTTGATTTATCTCCCTTACACTGCTTCAAATTATGTTTTGTACTGAAGTATTTGTCCATTAACCAGGACAAGCTTGTTTTTCCCCCTTTTTTGCCCCTAATTCCTAAACGGTTTGAGCCATAACCCCCCAAAGCAAATCCTAACCATCCCTTTGTGGTATGGAAACTTGTAGTATAATTTCAGAGAGATCCATACACCGTTCCACAGTGATTGTCTGGAAACTAGAAAATGCTTATTTTTGGCCCCTTTTTGGCCCCTAATTCCTTAACTGTTGGTACCATAACCCCCAAAATCAATCCCAACCTTCCTTTTGTGGTATTTAACCTTATGGTCAAATTTCAAAAAGATCCATTCACTTAAACTAAAGTTAGAATGCGAAAACCAATGTGTCTTCGGACGACGACGCCGGACGACGACGACGACGACGACGACGACGACGACGCCAACGTCATACCAATATACGACCACAAAATTTTTTTGCGGTCGTATAAAAATGGAAAAAAAAATCCCCCCCCCAAATTTTTTTAACCCCCTTATGATTCATCACCCCCAAACTCAATCCCAGCCTTCCCTTTGTGGTATGGTACCTTGCAGTACAATTTCAGATAGATCCATACACTTGAAAAGAAGTTATTGTCTGGAAACTAGAAAAATGCTTATTTTTGGCCCCTTTTTGGCCCCAAATTCCTAAACGTTTAGGGCAATTATCCCCAAACTCAAACCCAGCTTTCCCTTTGTGATATGGAACCTTGCAGTACAATTTCATAAAGATCCATACACTTACACACAAGTTATTGTCCTGAAACTAGAAAAATGCTTGTTTTTTTGCCCTTTTATGGCCCCTAATTACTAACAATTTGAGGGAATTACCCCCAAAATCAATCCCAGCCTTCCCTTTGTGGTATGGTACCTTGCAGTACAATTTCAGAGAGATCCATACACTTGAACACAAGTTATTGTCTGGAAACTAGAAAAATGCTTATTTTTGGCCCCTTTTTTGCCCCTTACTCCTAAACCTTTTGGGCAATTACCCCCAAACTCAATTCCAGCTTTCCCTTTGTGATATGGAACCTTGTTGTACAATTTCATAAAGATCCATACACTTACACACAAGTTATTGTCATGAAACTAGAAAAATGCTTGTTTTTTTACCCTTTTTGGCCCCCAATTCCTAAAATTTGGAGGCAATTACCCCAAAAATCAATCCCAGCATTCCCTTTGTGTTATGGAACCTTGTGATACAATGTCAGAGAGATCCATGCACTTACACACAAGTTATTGTCATGAAACAAGAAAAATGCTTGTTTTTTGCCACTTTTTGGCCCCTAATTCCTAAAATTTGGAGGCAATTACCCCCAAAATCAATCCCAGCATTCCCTTTGTGATATGGAACCTTGTGGTACAATGTCAGAGAGATCCATACACTTACACACAAGTTATGTCTGGAAATTACAAAAATGCTTATTTTTGGCCCCTTTTTTGCCCCTAATTCCTTAACTGTTGGTACCATTACCCCCAAAATCAATCCCCACCTTCCTTTTGTGGCATTGAACCTTATGGTAAAATTTCATTGAGATCCATTTACTTAAACTAAAGTTAGAGTGCGAAAACTAATGTGTCTTCGGACGACGACGCCGCGGACGACGACGCCGGACGACGACGACAACGACGACGACGACGACGACGACGCCAACGTCATACCAATATACGACCACAAAAAATTTTTTGCGGTCGTATAAAAATTAAAAATGCAAAACCACATTCATCACTAACAAAGAGAAAACAAGATCAATATTTTACAAGATTTTTTTTTAATTCAGACGTCTATGATTATCAATTTTCTTTTAAGATGGCCAAAAAGTTTTAACAGATGTCCAAAAGAAATTCTAGTTGCGAAGTCAGCATGTAAGGGATGAAAGTTCAGACGTTTCTCAAGAATCAAGTCACGTGCAATTGCCACGGGAATATCTCTGGAGACTGTGTCAGATAAAAATACAAATGGTGTTATACAACCGGGCAGAATATGCAAGTTTTCCTCAACTTCGATTTGTGATGCAAAAGAAAAGTTCCTGTGTGCTTTAAGTTTGTATTTAAGTTGCCGAAGAAGCACGTTGTTTTCCTCTCGACAAATGAAGAAGTAGAATTTGCCTTTTCTATCTTTTAGAAACAAGTTCTTGCAATACACAGTTTGATCAGTATTGTTACGGTCTAGTTTAGGTTTATAATTTACAGTCTCAGTAAAAATACTATAGTTTTCCAGACTTTGCAGAAGTTGCTTTCCTTCATCTGGTAAATCATCCGGAAAGACCGAGGAGTTTTGACTTAATTTATTAGATGGGACTTCCTCTTCATCACTTGATGTTGTTGATTCATCTGTTTCACTGTTACTGTCAGAGCTTTGGGAAATATGTGTAGAAGACTTGTTTAGATATGGTAAAGGAGTTTGTGATGAAGTGAAGTTTTCGTTTACGTTTTGCTTTCGATATTGTAAATCAGTTGGTGATGAAGTGATGTTTTCTTCCACGTTTTGTTCTACGGGCTTCATTGAAGTTTCCATCAGCCACATAGTTAAACGACGGAGAGATCTGCGAAGATGAGGCTGATAGATGATAAAAGCAGTAACTCCGGAGATGAGGCCAGCGGCCAACATCCCGGATTTAGCGTGTCGAGCCATGGTAGCGGCATATTTGTGGCCAACCCTGGAAGGTCAGCCGGCATCCACGACCTACGTTTGTCAAGGTTGTATATCAGGATACATTCTCAAACTAACCATTTGGTTAGTCTGCTATCCATTTACTATCTGATGGTCATATTTTAGATAATCCTCCACATTTGGACAGGTTTAATTAGTAATGCTTCATGTCAGCATTTTCTGGTGCATTTGTAACTCCACTTACAAACACGTACATGTATATCTATTAATTAAAAATATATATATTATTATCTACATAACTGGAACTGAACTCGCTTTAACTTTTTTTATACAAATGCTGAAGTGATTCGGTAACTATATGAATAAGTTAATATGTCTATCCCGTCCCTGACCTTTTCATGGGTAATCAGTAAGCAAATATACATGTCTTATACAGTTGACAGAAATTGAGTTAATCACGGACTCATTCTATCTCTCTAGCAGTCTCTTCAAGTTGTTAGTCTCTATCCCGTTTACTCAAGGTTTTCTTTAATCCCCCCTCCCCCATCGAAAAATGTATGAAAACTGTTTAACAAAACTCCTCGCCACGCGATGATATTTTTACATTTGCAAACAATTATATATGCGCCTCCTTTCCGCAAAAACCCTCTATGGCTCGACACTTCGTCCATATGTACGGAGGAAAAGCTAGCATAGACTGTTCCAAACTTATTTGTCGTAGTGTGTAGCCTACCATGGCGTTTACTGGTAGATCAAACTCGAATTCTTCAGAAATAATGCAGATTTTTAACTCTGACCGTAGCATGCGTAAGAAGTATTAAATTTTGAAGGCCTGTTAATTATTTTATTTTCATGTAAATATAAAAATAATTGCATGGCTTACCTTTTTGCAATATCAGTTCATTTTAGTTCTTTCGAACAATCGGCTTATTTCTATTTCTGTTAGGCGTTCATTTTCGTCTTTTTGTCAACCGTATTAAAATATAATGTCACTAACAACACGTTGTTTATATTTATATAAATTCGAAATCTATTTTTAGAATATGTAAAGTAAATGATATTTTGTTATCCACATGTTACTAAGGTAATTAATTTTATATTGTCATATACATGAAGATAATATCAAATCTAAACACATAAACAGGTTTATTTTTCAATTAAAAGGGTAAACAATCACTGTGAAATTGTTCTTATACCGTGAAAACTATCTTTTACTTCCGAATTCGACATAACGGTAATTTCTATTAATAGACATAAAATTACTTTGTATTTCATCAGCAAAAGTATGACCTAGGTATTGACCCTTGTTACTAACTGATCAGCTGATCTGTTAAAAAATATATGTTGAATTGCGAGACCTAACTAAACTAGAAGGATTATTTAATTCAAGTTATGAGAAGTATATATCCCAGATCGATAATCATGACGCATGTTGAGGATATTTTTCAATCGTGATTTTTATATATAAATCCCTCATTGTCGCAGGAATTGAGGCGTCAAAACAATGCAGGCAATTGTTACTATCCATTGGGGGTCTCCTATCCACATTTTAGCGACCTCCCAATGGATAGAAACAAGTGACTGTGCGTCAAAAGCAAAAATTAAAAACAGCTCGGCGGGCTTCCAAGACATCATATTTTTTGGATATGGGAGAAGGGCTAACTAGAAAAATTTAAACTGACGCAAACGGTAGCTCAACAAAACGATGTGACGAATGACGATTCAAATTTAAGACGCATTTGACACTTACGGAAGCGAAAAGGTAATTATTAAAAGGCAATTATTCCTACCATCATTTATCATGTAACCGTTTGATTGGTTGTCAAGGCAATTTTCATTTTGTTTAATAAAATGCAATTAAATTTTTGTAAAATGTTCAGTGTGAAAGAGCAGCCTAGAAATATTTAGAAACTAAAGACAACATATACCACAACGTGAATTGATTAAAAAAATCCTTTATAAGATTCCTATTAATGTGTCTACCGGCAAAGGTGTTTGACACAATTATTCAAGGAACAGTTTCGTGAATAAGATGTTATCTAGCATATTTTTTTTTTTCATTTTATTTTCAATTTGTGTACAAAAAAGCGGACAATTTTACATATAATAAGTGTACCTACATTTACATTACCACGGGATCATAATAATTTTATATACTTTATCGTGACATCTATAATCTATTTTGATTATTATTACTTGGATATTATTTTGATTAAACTCACATATATTTTTTTCCTTTTAGGTATCATTTTTATTAAACTCACATATTTGTTTTCTTTTCGGAATGAAAATTTTGACGGTTTTAAAATCAACAATATGTCTTAAAATATTGATTGATATCATTATTGTTTGATCTCAATCTGATTAAATTCAAATCTATATTAACTCGCGTGCTAGTATATCATATAAGGATAACGAAATCTGGGATCTATATTTTAATTAGATTGGTTTGATCTGTGATGGTTTAATATAACGTCACATATTGGAATCTAAATGAAATGATCTATAATACCTACCATGGTCTTTTTGATTTGACAGATCTTAAGAACAAAGCACTCCAACACGTACACCTGGTGTAATTTAAAAGGCGTACGGACTTCTATTTACTATTATATTTTATGCAAATCGGCGATTTAATCAGATTAATTGTTTGTTTTTTCGAAGATTGCTTTCAACTAAATGTGCAAGAGAAACCCCCCCCCCCTCCCCCCCCCCAAAAAAAACAATAAAAAATTTCACTACCAGAATCAATTGTTATGTGACTTCTGGTCTTTAATTTAAAATATGCTTCAATCTATATTTAGTATAGCACATAAAACCCAAAAATACATCTATAGTATAAATAAAAGATATGTATACTGGACAGCAACCATCTTTTTATTTATTGAATCCCTGGGATTAACTTTAGATGTTACTGTAATCATTACTCGAAATACTAGAAAAAATATTACTATGGGACCTTAAGTACATACATTTATATTAAATGACATAAAAATAATTAATATTAATATGAAATTGTGTTATGATTCTTTTTCGTCTTATTTAAGAATAAAATATTTATTACAAATACACCGCCAGTTTGCCATGCATAAAACTGGTTTAATTGCAAATCCGTACAAGGCCGGTTAATTATCGTCATCATCTTAACACTGTTTGACTAAATTTCTAATCCAACTCTTCTCAATAATTAAAGCAATGAAATATAATGTATTGAAAGTTAATTTCCCAGATAAAGGAAGAGTTCTCGGATCAAATATCCTCGTGGAAGCCGTATATTCATAAGGTAAAACGCGACCTCTTCTTACTTGACATGAACATGAAGCACTGAACAGAAATTATTAGTTGTAATATTCCTCTTAATTTCTAAATTTATGTATTTGAAATGTATCTGCTATAACTTGTTTATGATATGGAGGATATTAATACAATTCATAAGGTTTCCAAATGTGGGTTCTTGTAATGAAATTATTTGATTTAAAATTATAACATTAGTAACAAAACCGCCAGTTCGTGGTCAATTTTACTCCATGATATGATATGATGAGTGACCAAGAAGAAAGTCTTGGCTCTGGGGAAAATTTCTCAGTCGACCTTAGTGTGCCTGATCAAAAGATTCCCGAAGACGAACTTAAATTTTCAATAAGAAACATTTTGCAACTGGTCGACAGCGACAAACCTTCAACAGTTCAAAAAGGTAAGGAACGTTTTTTTCTTCATATTTTGAATTGTGTTATAGACAACTGTGATTTTGAAAAAACTTGTTTTTTAGAATTAAGAATTATAACAATTGCTTCTTAAAATTCTACGCCCTTTTAAATATCATCCAAATACCATTAAGGCATACAAAAAGAGCAATTAACGCCGAGGAATAAGTATCCACACGTTTGAAAGAGCTCGTTAACATGTTTTTATGTAGCCAAATATGTACGACCGTTTTGGTCAATTCACATTTAAGCTCATTTCTCATCTGATAAAAACATATAATGCCATGCAATATTTACGCAAATACCGGTTTACATATCTTTTATATGTCTACATTTTTTTATGATATGAAAAAAAAGGGGACGTGAGAAATAGGTCAACACCCCAAAGATACAAATAACCAAACCATTCAAATGCAACATAAGGCTTCAACAAAAGGCGGGTTTATACAATACATCGAACTGTACGTTTCGAGTCAAAAATAATTATGAAAACATTAAGCTGAAAATATTCCAAAAAAAAACGCAAAATTTGTGAACAACATTTAAAAGATTTGAGGTAGCATAATGGTTATAAGGTCATGCATATGTGGACAGGTAGCACTATTGTTTTGAGATCCAAGGACTCCCCTTTTCGGACTCCCCTTTTCAATCAGTTGACTAACGAAAGGTATAAAAATATCATACGATAAAAGCAGGCAAATATAAAAATAAGAAGATGTAGTATGATTGCCAATGAGACAACTCTCCACCAAAGACCAAATGAAATAGAAGTTAACAACTATAGCATTAAACCCTTTAAACAGCGCTATAATAGATAACAATTTCAAATAAAAACATTATAAACTATTTCATATCTTATAAAAAAAAAAACGTTTGCTACTATGCCTGTTGATAGGAAACAATCAGTGCTATACTCTTATATCTGTTGCTTTTTCTCATAGTAGATAATGCAAGACCAAAACTGTACTGGAACTCGATCTTGTGCAATGCCCGGAACAAACTATACAGACTTTCAATATAGAAAACAAAAGAAACATTTAAGTTTTATAAATAACCATATATTGGTCCGAGGACACAGTTATCGTCCTTTGATTTTCGTTACAAATATAGTCCCTAGTGTGGACAGTGTGTTTTGTTCATACTCTTTCCAGATTTATTTATTTGTATTTTATGCATGAAATAATAAGGAGTGGAATGTAATTACATGTTAAAAAATTAACTTTTTAGGTAAAGTAGTGATTTGGTCCAGTAAAAAAGGTAAAACAATTAGTATTTCTGAAGCTGTCAAATTGCATTATAGACCCCTTTAACATAGAATTGTCCATATTTTGAATTACAACTGATAGACTTTTCTATAATTTTTCTGTAATTTGTCCTAAAAGTAGTTTGCTAGTCTGAAAAAATCTTTTTGAGATAGAGCAAGTGAGTTTATTTAAATTTGAATTTATTGTCTAAAAGAAATGTACTACAAAATAACTGTGTTCTCGTGCCTACTGGTGTTAATAAAGAATGACCGAAAACCCATATTCAATAGATATAAGAAGATGTGGTATGAGTGCCAATGAGACAACTCTCCATCCAAGTCACAATTTGTATAGGTCAAAGTACGGCCTTCAACACGGAGCCTTGGCTCACACCGAACAGCAAGCTACAAAGGGCCCTAAAAATGACTAGTGTAAAACCATTCAAACAGGAAAACCAGCGGTATAATCTATATAAAACAACGAGAGACGAGTAACACTTAAGAATCACATCAACAAACGACAACCACTGAACTTCAGGTTTCTGACTTAGGACAGGTGCAAACAAATGCAGCGGGTTTAAACGTTTCAAGCCTATATTAAGCAGAAGAGAAACACATGAAGGACCTTTTTTAAAAACTTTTTTGTTCTATTTTTAATATATAACAGTTAAACACTGGTTGCAAATGGATCCATACTTCCACAAATCACTATATTTATATTGATGATGGTTCGGTATTTAACGTCCAGTGGAAAATATTACATTCATATCGGAAGAGAATATGTTACTGTGATGTGAATATTAACCCTGCTTTGTTCAAGATTGACACACTTGAGGCGCGGATTTATACGTGCTTGTACAAGGTAACAAGTGGTTGTCGTTTGTTGGTGTATATCATATTTGTTTTTCGTTCATTATCTTGTACATAAATCAGTCCGTTAGTTTTCTCTTTTAAATTTTTTACATTTCTCATTTCGGGGCTTTTTATAGCTGACTATGCGGTATGGGTTTTACTCATTGTTGAAGGGCGTACGGTGACATATATTTGTTAATTTCTGTGGCATTTGGTCTCTTGTGGAGAGTTGTCTCATTGGCAATCATACCACATCTTCTTATTTTTATAACTATTTGTACAAGGTAACATGCAGTCCGTTGGAGAATATGTCACCATAATCTGACACATTATTCAGAATCCGAATTATATATTATA